TGGGGAAGGGCCTAGGCCTGGCCCAGGATGATGTGGGAGACTTTGGGGAACCCCTTTTGAGGGCCTTACCCTACCTGGGGAATGGAGTGGGGATGGCTAGGGACAGGTAGGATGTTGGGGGGAAGGGGAGGAAGAGGGAGAGGGAGAAGGGATTGACATGTGAAGCAAGCTTGTTCCTATTTTGAACTAATAAAAGAATAAAATAAAAAATAAAAATTTAAAATTTAAAAAAAAAGAAAAGAAGGTCCGCTGAGCAGAAGCCAGAGAGCAGAAGCCTCCATTGTTTTTGCTTGAGTTCCTGCCCTGAGACTTGTCTGATTGTTTTGCTGTACCTGTAAGTGTAAGCTAAAATAAACCCTTTCCTATGTTGCTTTTGGTCTTAGTGTTCATTACAGCACTGGAAAGCACATTAGAATAGCTGGAGGCTGGGTATGTGTGCACATACCTATAATAAATACAGCACCCAGGTGGTGGCAGGAAGATCAGAAAGTCAAGGTCAGCCTCAGCTACTTAGGGAGTTTGAGGCCAGCATGTGCTATGTGAGACCCCTCCCACCACGGAACAGACAGAGGAACAGTAAAGTAGTAGGTTAAATGATCTGGTTGAACATGGCAAATTTGGTCATATACAGCGTTGAATAAGTTAAGGACCCTCTTTTTTTTTTTTTTTAGACACAGTTTTACTGTGTAGCCCTGGATGTCCTGGAACTCACCCTGTAGAAGGAGCTGGCCTTGAATTCACAGAGATCTGCCTGCCACTGCCTCCTGAATGCTGGAATTAAAGGCATGCACCATTACCACCTTGCTAAGGACCCTCATTGTTTGAGATAGAAATTTCACCTATATAATGATGTAATTCTTCCACCAGTCCTCAGAGGAAGCTGAAGAGTCAGGATTCTAAGCAAATCTGACTCCAAAGGTCATATGACTACTGTTGGTGGTCATTTGTTAGCTGGGACTACTACTGCAACTTAACCATGATCAGAAGAGTACACATGAGTGTGCTGCGCATAACTGCCAGTGTAAATGTTTGGGATTTATATAATGCTTGAAGAGTAGTGTTGTAAGTGTAACAACATGTAGACGACATGGCAGCAGGGGTGTAGACCAAATAATTTCTTCTGATACCAAATACAATTGTATAGATGTAATACTGAATAGGGAGCTCGACATGACCTTCAAAGACAGTTTCTTAGTCAATTGAGAGAGAAAGACAATGGAGAGCATTCTACCATCCTGTAACAGCTGCACTCTAAAACTAAAGATGCTATCCCTGGCAAACACAGACAAAAGGTAGTGAATTCAGGATGGGTAAATCTTACCCAAGAGGTTTTTTGTTGTTGTTTTTTCCCTTAGGGTTTTTGTTTGTTTGTTTTGTTTTTATTTTGTTAAAACAGGGTCTCATTATGTATCCCTGTTTAGCCTGGAATTCACTGCTCACTCTGTGGACCAGGGTGTCTTTGAACTCTCAGAGATCTGCCTGCCTTTGCCTCTCAGTCCTGGGAACAAAAGGTGTGCACCACCACACTCAGCCTACCTGAGTTCTATAGGGAAAATGGGAGAAGGGCGCTTTAGGCAAAGGGAACAGCATGTAACAATTGTGTAAGTGGATGGAGCAGTGTGATTACATAAACTCTAGAGAGAAGACAATCTCAGGCAGTGCTTATCCTCAGCTCTGTAACCAAGTTCCTCTTTCAGTTTTATCCCTGCAGTGAATGATTTGACTTCCGACCTTTTTCGTACCAAATCCAAGAGTGAAGAAATCAAGCTCGAATTGGAAAAACTTGAAAAAAATCTGACTGCAACATTAGTGTTAGAAAAATGTCTACGAGAGTGAGTTGAAATCTTGACATTTTGAATTATAAACACATTGTCAAGCTGGGCATGATGACATAGGACTGTAATCCCAGCTACTGGATGGCTGAGGCAGGAGCCGAATAAGCCCAAGGCTGCCTGAGCAACTCAGGAGGGGCTTAGGTGCAGACTTTCATATTTTACGTTATATAGTTTAATACCTGTATATTTATTTTTGCTTTATTTTTTAAAATATATAAAATATAAAAAATATATTATTTATTTATTGATTTTTTTTGAGACAGGGTTTCTCTAGCTTTGGAGGAATTTTAGCTTTATTAAAAATGTGTAGTTTGGCTGGGTGTTGGTGGCGTACGCCTTTAATCCCAGCACTCAGAAGGCAGAGGCAGGTGGATCTCTGTGAGTTCGATCCCAGCCGGTCTACAAGAGCTAGTTCCAGGACATCCTCCAAAGCCACAGAAAAACCCTGTCTCGAAAATACCAAAAAAAAAAAAAAAATGTAGTTTTATAATTTTTCAATTTTTTTTTTCTTTTTTAAAGGTTTATTTACTATGTATAGTGTTCTGTCTGCATATATTTCTGCCTGCCAGAAGAGGGCACCAGATCTCATTCCAGATGGTTGTGAGCCACCATGTGGGTGCTGGGCATTGAATTCAGGACCTCGGGAAGAGCAGCCAGTACTCTTAACCTCTGAGCCACCTCTCCAGCCCCAAGCATCATTTCTTTGAACAAATGTCTCGGTGATTCCAAGGTGTAGCCATATTTTCCATGAGATTTCTTTGTCTTCTGGATCCCTCTTCAGTGCTGGGAATCAAATACAGGGGCTTGCCTGAGGTGGTAATACACTCATTTAATGCTAGACTGGCAGGCACATTTCTGTGAGTCCAGGGTTACCTGGTCTCCATAGCAAGTTCAAGGCTAGCCAGGGCTACAAAGTGAGATCATGCAGGTGTAAAGCTCCTGGGGAACCTTGGCAGATTCCATGACAGGTGAGGGTGACTGAGGCAGAGGGACAAACATGCCAGGCAGACAGAGCTTAAGTGAGAAGTTTTAGAAAGGGGAGGGAGGGGGAAGGAAAGAGAAAAGAGGTAAAGAGACACAGAGACAGAGAGAGGACAGAAGAGAAGAGGGAGACGGGAAAAGTCCTGTCTGCCCCAGGGGAATAGTGGGAAGGGGGTGGGGAGCAGTGGAAAAGAGAGGAGGAGGCAAAGAGAAGAGCTAATTTTCAAATTTTTAAACTTCCAAGCTATCATATAATTTGAAGTCACATATTTTGGTATGCTTTTTTTTTCTGTCGCTCTAATGTCCTCTTTGATGCTGTGAGCCTTTAGATTCTGATTGCCCCAGAGATTAGAGTTATTGGTTAGTATTTATGTAAAGATGGAGTAAATTGGTGACATACAAATGAATTCAACAAATACAGAAAATGTATGTGTTAGGCACTGTGTTGTGTCACATATAGTAGAGAGGTCTTTGGGATCCTGCATTTCAAATTGGCTTAGGATATATTAAACCACTTTTTTGAATAGCAGGTTTAGTTTGTCCAAGAATAATTGTTATAGGTTAATGTTAATGTTTTTATGTTCCTTGAGAAAAGTTCCACTTTGGCAACATGGAGGAGCAAATGTCCTAAAGCATGCATTGTAGTCTGGGATGTAAAACTTGTGGTGGAATAGCTGGCAAGTAGGTTATCTATATTGGCTAAGACAGCATTAAATCTCTAAGGAGGGAGTTGGTTTTCTTGTTCTTAAACAATCCTTTACTGAGAAGAAAAAACAAAAGCTTTAATTTTACTTTTGGAAGAGATCTCAAGAAGGCAGAGCTGCATCTGTCTGCGGAAAGGGCCAAAGTTGACAGTCGTCTTCAGAACATGGACTTCCTGAAAGCAAAGGCAGAGGAGTTCAGGTTTGGAATCAAAGCTGCAGAGGTGTGTATGAAGAACTGTTTCTAGCTAGCCTTTTAGACATTTGTCCTCACAGTAAGAAGCAGTGTCAGTCCTTTCTGCAGATGATGGAAGTACAGGGAAGAACTGTAACTTGTCCAAGTTTATGTAACTATTGAGCAGCAGCTCCTGGTTCAAAGTCGGCATTCAAACCCTCACACTCAGCACCTGTCTTCTCACCACATCTGAGTATAGAAAGGATTCACAAGTAACATAAACTAGCTTATATGCATGTGTGCTTTCTAATTGTGATCTGTAGCATTCTTTATTAAGTGTTGAAAATGTTTTCATGGTGGTTACTTTTTTTTTTTTTAAGATGTATTTATTTATTATGTATACAGAGCTCTGCCTGTATGTATGCCTGCACACCAGAAGAGGGCACCAGATCTCATTACAGATGGTTGTGAGCCATCATGTGATTGCTGGGAGTTGAACTCAGGACCTTTGGAAGAGAGCAGCCAGTGCTCTTAAGCTCTGAGCTATCTCACTAGCCTGATGGTTACTTACAAATTAATTTTTCAACCAAACTCTTTTCTCATATTGTAGGAGCAGCTTTCTGCTAGAGGCATGGATGCGTCTCTATCCCACCGGTCACTAGTGGCACTTTCAGAGGTAAGCTTCCTGTCTTAGTCTGTCCTTTGCTGCTGTCACAGAATACCACAGACTGGATCACTTAGGAACAGTCAAAACAAGAAGTTTATTTTGTTGATGATTCTGAAGGCTAAAAAGTCTAAGATCCAAGGGCCACATCTGCTGAGGGCCCTCTACTGTGTTCTCAGGTGCATAGTAGAAAATGCAGATCCCAGGGTGTGGGAGATGGCTCAGTCGCTGGGAAAGTGCTTACCTGAGTTTGATCCCCAGCACCCATATAAAGTCTGGGTGTGGCTACACATGTCTGAAAATCCAGCACCGGGGAGTTAGAGGCTAGTGACAGTTCCTATGTAATCGGTCCCTTTTGTAGATGAGGGAACTAGAGAAGATCTGTAACTTGCCCAAGTTTATGTTCAAGTCAGACATTGAAACCCTTACACTTGGCACCCGTCCACTCACCACTTGTGAGGGTAGCTAAGGGTTCACAGGTAACGTAATGAACTTGGGTACTCCTGGGCCAGGTAGTCTAGCCTATCAGTGAGCTCCACATTTTGTGAAGGACACTGTCTCAAAAACATGTGTAGTGACTGAGGAAGACACCCAACATCAACCTCCAGCCTTTACACAGTGCAAGCAACTTGGAGGAGCTTGGTCTGCACATTGGTCCCGGGAATCCAACTTCATTCACCAGGGGCTGGAGAGATGATCAGTGGTTAAGAGCACTGGCTGCTCTTTAGAGGGCTTTGATTCAATTCCAGCATCGACATGGTGGCTCACAACGGTCTATAGCTCCAGTTGCAGCGATCTAACACCTTCCTCTGTCGGCACCAGGCATACATATGGCTCACAGTCATATATCCAAGCATAACACTCATACACATAAAATAAGTGTGAAAAACAAGATGGACTGGAGGGATGACTCAGTGGTTAAGACACTTGTGCTCTTGCTGAGGACCCAGATTGTCTCCCAGCACCCACACGGTGGCTCAAAAGCATCAGTGACTCCAGTTCCAGGGGATTCAGGCCTTATTCTGACTTCAAAAGGCACATAAAAAAGGTACAAAACAAACAAAAACCTTATACCATAAAATACAATTAAAACAAAAATAGAAAAACCTTAGTTTACCAGGCTTGGCTGCAAGTGTCTTTACCCTTGAATCATATTGCTAGCCTCTATAGTCCTATACTAAGTAAGTAGGAATATAATTTACTTTTCAACATTTTGGAAAAGTATTGTTTTGTTTTTATTAGAAATGAGGTGATCTATTTGAAGTTCTTTGATTCCTTGTTTAATATTTCTGTGGATTGGACAGTATAACTTGTTGGTAGATTGCTTGCTAACCTTCATGAAGCCATGAATGAATGAATACTAAATAGTAATGTTTTATTGCATTTTATTTTAGAAATGAGCACTGTTCAGTTGTTTTGTGGATATATCTGTTGCTATATAACTCTCTGTTCATTTCCAGAAACTCACAGAAATAAAACAGCAGACTATACCCCTGAAGAAAAAACTGGAGTCCTATTTAGATTTAATGCCGGTAACTGTTGTTATGGGTTTTCTAACCTTCCTGTAAAGACACTACGTGGTCAGAGCATAGTGGGTTTGTGTTTCAAGGATTTAAAATCAATGTCAAAACTGAGAGTGGTGACTCCCACTTATAATCTGAACACTTGGGAGGCTGAGGCAGAAGGATCATTGAGTTCTAACAGCTTAGGCTACAGACTGAAGTTTGTATCAGAATAAGAAAATAAAAAAAAATAAAGACAGTGGTAGGCTTGGCATGGTGGTCCACATCTCTAATCACAGCACTTGGGAGGTTGAGGATCTTAAATTCAAGACCAGTTTGGGCTCTGTCTTGTTACATTTATTTGTTTGTTTGTTTGTTTGTTTGTTTATTTTGGGTTCAGATGCCACAGTGCACATAGAGGCCAGAGTAGATTCTCTTAAACTAAGGGCACTCAAGTCACCTGGTTTGGCAGAAACTGCCATTACTTAGTGAGCCATCTTTCCCACCAAGATCCTGTTTTAATACCCCCCACACACACACACCCCACTCTGCCCAAATGGTTATTGGTAAATTTCAGTATGAAGTGTGGGCTGGGTGCTCCCTCTGATTTTCCTTGGCTTTTGAAGGGATTGTATTGTGAAGTAGCTTTCCTCTGAGTGAACTGCTTTCTGTATTTGTATCACCATGACCAAACTCTGATACTGTGTATCACTATGTTACCTCACAGAAACAGCTTAAGTAAGCCAAGATTTCAGTCGTGTCACATTTTCATAGTGTCACCCAGAGTGGTGGGAAAGACAGGTGGGACAGGTCAGTACTGCAAGTTAGAAACCAGTGACCAGGCATGTAATCGGTAGTTTTATGTCAGCTTCACAAGCTAGAGTTATCTGAAAGGAGCCTCAGTTGAGAGAATGCCTGCACTTCTAAGGCGTTTTCTTAATTAGTGATTGTGGGTGGGGCAGTACTAGGCAGGTGGTCATGGGTTCTATAAGAATTCAGCTGAGCTGGGTGGAGGTGAGACATACCTTTAATTGCAGCACTTGGGAGGGGAAATCGCTGTGAATTTAAAGCGTGGCTGGAGTACAAAGCAAGTTTCAGGACATCCAGGACTGTTACATGGAGAAACCCTGTCTCAAAAAAACCAAAGGAAAAAAAAAAAGAAATAAAATAAGAAAGAAAGAACAAAGAAAGCAGGCTGAACAAGTCATAGGAAACAAGGCAGTAAGCAGCAGTCCTCTGTGGCCTCTGCATCAGCTTCTGTCTCCAGGATCCTGCCCTGCCTTCCTTCAGTGATGAACAGTGATGTGGAAGTGGAAGCCAAACAAACCCTTTCCTCCCCATGATACTTTTTGGTCATGGTGTTTGGTCACAGCAATAGAAACCCAAGCTCAAACAAGGCTATAACCTCAAAACCTAACCCATAGTGTATTGCGTGCTGCATTCGCTCAAAGATGATCCGTAGTCCGTAAGGCTAAGATTTCTTTATTCAGATAAACACCAGCCCAAACGCAAGCCAGAGCCTCTCCCCCCCCCCCGCCCCCCCCCTCAGGGGTGGGGCCAGGCACACCTGTAGTGGCTACTAGAAAGCGGGGCTACAGTGTCTCCCTACAATAGTTACCTCTTCCTCCTGAAGGTTCAGAGCTTCCCAAAACAGTACCAACAGCATTCAAACAGAGCCTGTGTGAAGCTCTTCATTTAACTATCACACTTTGCTTGCTTGTTTTTCTTTTTAAGAATCCATCTCTTGCTCAAGTGAAAATTGAAGAGGCAAAGAGAGAATTAGTAAGTAGTTTCCATCTTCCTTCATTTTCCCTTTTAAATTAGCAGTTACTAAGTTGAGATAATAAAATTTCTAAGCTGGGTCAAGCTATGAGGTCCAGCTGCTTGGGAGTACACAGCCCAAGACAGGCTTTGTGGTAGAAATTGGTTTTAATGTTTTCCTTTTCTACTCTTATTTTAGATATCAGAAGTTGATGATATGTCTTTCATGTCTTCATTTATGGCTTATTTCCTTTCTCTAGGATGCCATTGAAGCTGAACTTACAAGGAAAGTAGACATGATGGAACTGTGACTAGAGCCCAGTAGACATTCTTCTCCCAAGAAGTCAATGACTGTTCTTAGAGGAGATAATAATATCCTTCTTGATAAAATAACAGTTTTTGGTCATGCATTTAAATTTTTTTGGCCTAAGTACAGTTTTCATATGAAAAAGCATTTTGTGTTACCTGTTATTTGTATACCTGGCAGTTAAGAATCTCAAAAATCAGGGAGGGGCTGGAGAGATGGCTCCACAGTTTAGAGCAATAAATATTGCTCTTGCAGAAGACTGGGGTTTGATTCTCAGCACCCATATGGTGGCTCAAGACCATGACATCTCAAGACCATTGGATCTGACATCTTCTGGCATCTGCAGGCATCAGGCACACATGACACACAGACATACATGCAGGTAAAATACTCATACACATTAAAAAAAAGAAAAGAAAAGAAAATTCTGCCGAAGGCGGCAGTCCCTTAGGTGACCATCATTGAAAGGTTCATTTAATGCTGATCAGCTCTACCTCTTCAAGAGACAGGCCCCGCCCCGTGACAACAATCTGGGCACTCACTCTGCTGGGCCTAATAATAAACTGGTTAATATGTCTTATCTTGCACCTCCTCTTTTTCTTTATATCTAATTTAAACAAAAACAAAACAATCATGTCAGTTCTTACAGGCTTGCTCTGTGGTTCCCATTCGTTTACTTGCTTCCTTCTCTGGGGCTTTGCCTCCATTCCTGAGCAACTCACACTGACCTGTCACCAAATGTCAATATGTTTCGTTTATGAAAAAGATTAGATCTTTAAGCCAGTTGCAGAAAGAGGAATAATATGGTTCTAAATTCATATTTCATGCCCTATATTAGGATAATCCAAAGGATCAAAGACCAATATAAAATTTTAAAAATAAAGATACTGGACTGGAGTATGAATCTATTTATGCTTGCCTGGCATACATGAAGCTCTGTTCAGTCTCCAGCCCAGCATGGTATGCATGTCTATGCTGGTTTTTCTTTCTTTCTTTTCTTTTTTTTTGTTGTTTTTTTTTTTTTTTTTTTTTTTTTTGTTTTTCGAGACAGGGTTTGTCTGTGGCTTTGGAGGCTGTCCTGGAACTAGCTCTTGTAGACCAGGCTGGTCTCGAACTCACAGAGATCCGCCTGCCTCTGCCTCCTGAGTGCTGGGATTAAAGGCGTGTGCCACCAATGCCCAGTGCCTGTATGCAACTTTTTAGGGCATTTTTTGATTGATGTGAGAGGACTCTGCCCATTGTGGGTAGTGCCACCCATGGCCACATGGTTCTGGGTTGTATAAAAATGCAATTGAGCAAGCTAGTCAGCGTTTCTATGTGCTTCTTCAGCTCCTGCCTCTAAATTCCTGTTAAGTTTCTGCCCTGACTTCTCTCAGTGCTGGACTGGAAGCTTTACTAGATGTATGAGGTGCGCCTTCTTAGAGTTTCTACCACCAGTTGAGTCATAGGCAGACTGCAGAGTTCAAGCATACTGGCCCATGCCAGAGCTGACCTGATGTGGGATGTTAAGCCTATTTGTAGCACCCCGCATGACTGGTGTATGATTGAGTACCTGGGAGAAGATGTGTAATGCTATCAAGGGTCTGCCCTGCCATCCACTCTTTAACTCAAGCAAAATCTCCGTCTACCCTAACTGTAAAGAAAAAAAAATCTACACCGTAGTTTACTCTACCAAAGAGATCTCAAAGTCATCTCCAAATCTGAACAAAATTCCAAGCAAGATATACACAGAGAAATAACACAAAAAGAAAAGGCTACAGGGAGAATAATTCGGAGTATCTAGGTTGACTGATAGTTGATTTTCAAACTCAGTATGTAGCCAGGGCCACACATTGCAAGTCTTCCCAAACTTGGGGACCAAGTATTCAAACATGTGTTCTGAATATTATTTTAAGTTGTGTTACATTTGTTTATGCTATGGAATATTTGTTTAGTGATGCAAAGATGTGTCTCTTTTATGTTGCATTTGTTTAACTCTGTGAAGGTGTATCACATTGCCTGTCTAAAACAACTGATTGGCCTAATAAAGAGCTGAATGGCCAATAAGAAGGCAGAAGAAAGGATAGGTGGGCCTAGCAGGCAGAGAGACTAAAATAGGAGGAGAAATCTGGGAAGAGATTGAGGAGGAGTAAGAGAAGGGGGAGGAGGACCAGCCATACAGCCAGACATGGAGTAAGAAGTAAAGATGTACAGAAATAGGGAAAAGTAAAAGTCCAGAGGCAAAAGGTAAACAGGCTAATTTAAGTTAAGAAAAGTTGGCTAGAAACAAGTCAAGCTAAGACTGGGCATTTGTAAGTAAGAATAAGTCTCCATATGTTATTTATTTGGGAGCTGAATGTCAGGGCCCCCAAAGAGTAAAAAGCCAAAAAGAGTAAAAAAATAAAATAAAAACAAAGCCAACAACACACGAGCCTATGGGAGTCATTCTCATTCAAGCTACCATATTCCACTTCCTGGCTGCCATAGACTAGTTGCATATCATAATGCAAAATGCATTTAGTCCAGCTTCACAAGTCTCCATAGTCTTTCATTGTCTTAACAGTTTAATAGTCCAAATCTTTCCTGAATCTCAAAGTAATCTCTTATTTGCAACCCCCTATAAAATCAAAAGGTAAACTGTATACTCCAACATGCAATGGCAGAGTATGTAGTGCTTTTCCAAAAGGGAGGAATTGGAACATAAAGACCAAAACCCATCAACTCCAAATCCTGTCTGATGTCAAAGGGCTTACTACACACTTGCAGCTTACTGCCTGTAAGGCACCTCTCTCTCAGGCTGCTTCCACTCCCTGTATGTAGCTCTCCTTAGCAGATATCCCATGACTGGCTGATCTAACATCTTGGGGTTTCCAGATGCAGTACAGGCTTCTCTTTCACAACTTCATTCACTGGCTTCTCAGGGCCTCCATGCTGGGATTCTGCTACACACCTGGCCTCAGGTTTCCTTACCCTGAAAATCCCATAATCCCATTGCTCATGTATCTCTCATGACTCTTAAAACCAGAACCAAGTGGACAACACAACCTCACTTGACCTCTTGATGGACCCCCGGAAACTCAGGCCTCCGGGGTTCCAGCCCAGGACCGCAGTCACCCCAGTCACCAGGCAGATTCGAAAACTTGCTGCAAACTGCATGAGGCTTTATTGTTTAACGAGCTAACCCCATGTTAGCTTGGGTCTTTCACCCACCCGCCATGGCGGATGGCTAGCAAAGACAGCTCGAAGGGGCTGCAGAGAGATCTTGTAGAGCAGTGTAAGGGGAGTGTCTAGGGGTGCACACAGGCTCAGGATTGGTGTGCCTCCAGGCTTGGAGGGCTTGCCGTGTGTTGATTGGCCAACTGGTTGTTATGGCCCTCCCAGGGTGGTTGCTATGCTCTGCGTGTCATTGCTGTGCACTTGTCCAGTAAAGCACACCCAGAGCTGTAAAGCATAGCGCCACCAGCTAACTTCTGATTGGTTCCTTGCCACAAGGCAGGCATCTGACTTCTAGTGACTAGGACAAGGTCATGGCAAGCATGTGTTACTGCCATGGCTGCCGAAATGGGGAGCTGGTCCCTTCACTCTCACTTGTGATTGGAGCCTGGCTCCCTTGAGTCATATCTGCAGAAGCTGTTCTTAGTTTTTGCTCTTAAAGGGGAACGAAATTTCTTGTTTTTTTTTTTAAGGTTTTTATTTATTTTGTATAGTCTTCTGCCTACATGCCAGCAGAGGGCACCAGATCTCATTTAAGGTGGTTTTCCAGGTGGTTGCTGGGAATTGAACTCAGGACCTCTGGAAGAACTGCTCTTAACTGCTGAGCCATCTCTCCAACCCTTCTTGGGTTTTTTGATTTCACAAATTGTTGGATTATCTGGGTAGAGTCTTGCCCTGAGGGCTCCTCTCCCTTTGTAACAATGCAGGTCAGGCCTCACCTTGATCTCCTTGTTTCTTTTAAGCACACACCTTGGCTCTAACATGAAATTACCAGGTGCTCTTTTTCTCCTCAAACTTTACATTTTCTATTTCTTTTGCCCTACTTGCTCTTTTTCATTGTAGTCCTACATAGATGTGATTACTAATAACCATGTAACAGAGCCAACATTAGACTGTCCTGAAATCCCATTCACCAAAGAAATTATCCATTACTTTTTAATTTTCCTCAGGCAAATTCTTAGGATGGGGGCAAAAAGCAGCTATGTATTTTGCCAAAGTATCACAAGAATGGTCCCTAGCCTCCTTGCCAATATTGTTCCCCTCTTGAGCTGTGCCTCTACCTTCAGCACTACTGTCTTCCATGTTCCTACTAGTGTGGCCCATTAATCTTTGATTATAACATTCAACTGCTTTCCTAGTATAACATCTCAAAGTCATCTACGTTCCTCTACAAAGAAAAAACAGCATGGTTAAGCCTATCACAACAATACCCCATTCCTGGTACCAACTTGCATATTTGTTTATTTTCTATGGCTGTAAAGAGATAATAACCAAGGCAGCTCATACAAGAAAATGTTTAATTGGAGTTACAGTTCCAGAGGTTTAGATTCCATGATAATGGAGCAAAAGCATGACATCAGGAATAGTGGAAAGCTCACATCTTGATCAACAAAAAAAAAAAAGGTTGAGTTAACTGGGAGTGACATGAGTTTTGAAACTTCAAAGCCCACCAGTGACACACCTCCTCCAACAAGGCCACACCTCTTAATCCTTCCCAAATAGTTCCAGCAACTAGGGACCAAACATTCTAACATATTCATTCTCATTCAAACCACCACAGCAGGGGAGATGACTCCTTGGCTGAAGGAAGGCACTTGCTGCCAAGCATGACAGCCTGAATTCAGTTCTGGGAACCCACATGGTGGAAGGAGGGAACCAACTCCTGCAAGCTGTCCCCTGACTTTCATATGCACATTGTGGTGTGTTTACTCCCACACACATATAATTTTTTTTTAAAGCAAACAAAGGATATGGACCACGGCTCTCTGCTGTGAACTCAGTTGTATGGACAGGGGAGCTGGTGTGAGGGGCAGCCTCTGTTTTTTGTCTTTATGTCTGACCCTAGACTACAGGTCTGACTGCTTCCCTCCTGATATTTCCATATTCATCCCCTAAGAACAGAAACATTTGTAGTTTTAAGCACAGTAAAATAATCAAATTTAGGAAATTTAATTAATTAATTTATTCTATTATCTTAGTAATGCACAGTATATACAATAGCCCAACTCAGGAACATATATTATGTATAGTCCTGTTTGTCTTTGTTTTCTGCTTTTTATTTTTAAAGATTTTATTTATTTACTATGTATACAGTCTCCTGCCTGCCAGCAGAGGGCACCAGATCTCATTCAAGGTGGTTGTGAACCATCATGTGGTTGCTGGGAATTGAACTCAGGACCTCTGGAAGAACAGTCAGTGCTCTTAACTGCTGAGCCATCTCTCCAGCCCTGTTTTCTGCTTTTTTGAGACAGGGTCTTTTTTTCTTTTTCTTTTTTTTTTTTTTGAGACAGGGTTTATCTATGTAATTTTGGAGCCTATCCTGACACTGACTCTGTAGACCAGGCTGGCCTCGAACTCACAGAGATTCACCTGCCTCTGCCTCCTGAG